TGATGTGGTATTAGGTGCTTTTGCAACTACTACCTGAATGCGCTTCAGGGATTAAAATTGGCTACATGGTTTCCAAGGATTGATGGTAGAGGGGGGCTCGGACTATTATATCATGGTTGATAGGTGGCATGGACGACTGGATGTAGTGGAGTATGAGGCACCAAATCAGGAAAGTAAGACACTTGGTGGTTGGAATGACACATTCTTCTCAGTATGCTAATGTGCTGAATAGCCTGCGAGGGTGTCAGTAGACAGGCAGTGCTGAGGGGAGAGTAGCCATCAGGAAAGTAAGACGCTTGGTGGTTGGGATGGACACATTCTTCTCAGCATGCTAATGTCCCGAATAGCCTGCAAGGGTGTCAGCAGACAGGCAGTGCTGAGGGGGTAATACCCATCAGGAAAGTAAGACACTTGGTGGTTGGGATGACATTCTTCTCATGCACGCCTCGGTATGCTAATGAATAGCCTGCAAGGGTGTCAGCAGACAGGCAGTGCTGAGGGGAAAATACCCCTGCAGTAAGAAATTAATTTTTCTTGTATTTGAGGGACTCTAGGGGCCCTTGGTCTGATGGTAAAATCTTGGGCTGGCATGTGTTAGAACGTGGGTTTGAGTCAAAGGGTAGTCATTTCGTGCAAAAAATAGCCAGAGATTAGGACCATACCCAGTCTACTCCTCCTAAGACCCCAGATAGCTGGGACCAACATTGGGTGATGGCCTTGTATTTGAGGGGGTTCTACAGGGTGCTCTAGTGGGAAGACAAAAGGGCCTTCTCAGTATGGAGTCGTACATACATACAGAATACAATTATGTAAATGCATAATGTGCATCTTTGGCATGATTAATAAAATTCAGTTATTGATAAAAAATATCAAGCTTTTTTGTAGGTTATAACTTATAAGTTTGATAGGCATGAGCTTCCATTGTTGTTCCTCTTGGCATCTATAAATACAATGATGTGCCTTTTAGATTAAAAAATATAATGTCCATGGATGCATGTGTGTCTTTCAGTTCTTTCCCATCAATTTACATTTGAACAGGAATGCAAAATTGTAGCTCGACAGAATGGATATACTAATAATTTTTTCCATTTTTTTACAGCTAATTGCATGTGGAATTGCTGTGGCTACTTACAATGAAGGGGCAACTGATTTTAAGCAGACACCTGTGTACAAGGAGTCAATTCAATCTCGAGAATTGTTGGAAGAACCAGAATCATCAACCTCAGATGTATTTGAGACCAATCCGACTGAAGAAGCACCTAGTTTGGAATAGCCACTTAAAGTTGCATTTGGATGATAGCAAGGCCTTTATCATGGGATCTCATAGTGAAAAGATTTACATGCAAGGCTTCCAGCATCCAGTAAGGTAACTACACTGTTTACACACTGTAATCTTTTACTTTCTCTTTTTTCCCTTTGTATTTTATTTTATAAGTTCTTGATACAAAATATATTTCTTTTTGAGCATTTGAGCATGCAGACGGATCTCAGAAAGAGGGTTTAGGTATATCTTGACATCCACAGTCCTGATGTCTGACCTACTTATTTGGTTACATACAATGGGACTTACACCCATACCCACGTAGGTCATTTCTGGTCTTTTTCCTACTCCAAAATTGTTCTTGATTGAATCACCTTAGGCACCTGCGTTCCTCCTATATCAAATGCTATTGTGCTTGTATGATCATAAAGAATGTAGTATGGTGACTTTTCACTGTAATTTCTGGCTGTAGGGTTAATGGGTTGATGGTTAATCTATTTAATGGTTCATCCTTTGATTTCTTCTTTTTGATAAAACTTCAAAATCATTTACACAAACTTGTGTTCGTGGTTCATTTGGAAATATGAAACAGGTGCCATTTCTCTTCTAGGGGGTGGGGGGTGGAGATGGGGAATTGGTTTATTAACTTCACTTAAATGCAAGAAACCCGGGTTATCTTTCACATTGGGNGTAATTAGTTGCTCAAAAAGATAAGATGGTAGAAGCACTTTGATTTCCTCCACTTGCCCATTTCTCTTTTATTTTATGTTTTGGTTTTAGTTGCTTTCACCCCACCAAAAAATAAAAAAAAGATAAAGAATAATGAAGCAGGACATCGATATCTTATATCAATTTTGTTGCTATAACAGCCATTCCAATTTTCTTATGCATTATAAGCACAGGTTGGAACACCTTGGATTGTTCAATTCTTTTTAAGCGGTTAAAGTCTGACCTTAAATATTCCAATAATCATATAGAAAATATGTCAGCATAATGAACCCTACCTCTGAAAATTAGAAAAATAAAAGACAAAAAAAATGCATCTTTTTCAAAATGATGGGAAGCAAACTTTTATTTGTTTGCCCTTCCATGTGAGTGAAAAGCTTGTTCCATGGAAAATCAATGTGGCATACCACGTGTGTTGTTGTGAATATGTTGTTCAATTGGTGAATGGTATGTTTAACTGCTTGCATAACTAAGCAGGCAATCTATCATACATGAAAAGAAACTCTGGTTTATGAGCTAACAGACTTTTTCCTTTGGTTGTGGTGGTGGTGGTGGTGGTGGTGGGGGGGGGGGTAGAAGGATTGTGGTAGGATGGTGGGTGGTTATTCCATGATGACACCCTTGTGGAATCAATTTCCTAGATTTTATAACATGTCAACCACCTAAAGTTGTCTACTAAGTGGGGAAAAGGAGCACATGCTGCACAAGAGGAGAAAGAGAAGAAAAAGGAGATGGTTAAACTTTTACTTATGTGGCAGGAAGGAATAGAAAACTCAACATTTGCTGTTTCTACAGTGCTGGACCGCTAGTCATCCTTGGTCTACAGTGCTGGATCACTATTTGGCAAAACTTTCATTTTGTAAGTTAGGGAATTTGCAGTTCTTGGTACGAGGTTCAAGAAATAGGTCTTAAACCGGTTGGAGTAGATGGGTTATAAGACCCATCATCATTGACCTAAAAAGAGTCCGTTTTTTTGGTAATCAGAAATATGCACCAACCAAACCCAAACCAACCAATCATCCGGCCAAAGACAACGAAAAAAAGAAAAGAAAAACACAATAAACTAACAGACATGAGACACCTAAAACAATAAACCAAGAAACTGCGTAATCCATCAAAATTATATTATTCAGCCAACCCGGAAAACAACCCCAGAATGGCAGAGTTCTGCTTCCTCTGAGAAGAAAAGAAAACCACGTTGAGCCAGCACATGCTCTAGCAGCTCTACCTCATTGCCTGCACGCTTGACAAAAAGCAAACTTGAATCACGTTTATTTCTTAATGCTAGCCACTCCTGGGGTGACTCATTAATCTTAACCTTCAAACAACCCACAACCTAAACCTATCTAACAGAATAAAAATTGAGAAGAAATGTTTTCAGTCTAGCAATTTTAATGCTAATATATCTCTTCCTCGTTGAATTTGTCCTTATCTGTCCATGGTGTGCAGAGGATAAGCCTTAGAGGTGGATTGCAAATTCATCTTTTCCACCAAGGCTCCCACTTTGGGTACACGATTGCACTTTCATCGCACGTGCTAGCATATCACTTGATTATCTTACAGGTCAACAGTCAAAGATGCCCCCCCCCCGCCAAGAGTCATATAGCGGCACCTACCATCACCAATTAAGCCGGAAGTGTTTGCTCATATTTGGCTCGGGACCTCTTCTAGCGTCGGATCGGAATATATCCAACACTCATGCTAGCACCCCACCCTATTTCTTTCAGTGCTTGAAAAATGAAAAAAAAAATTGAGTCCTGGTTGATTAGCAACTTGAGCCATCTTTTCGAATCTCATACTTTTCCCAGTCCCAGCGGCAAGGCTTCGAATCCTATACGGTTACTCTCGTCAAAATTGAGGTACTGGGCCAATCAGCCACCGCCACGTCATAGTCATGAGGTTAATTCGGTTCCAACAAGTGGGCTGCAGTGCGCATGTGAGGTTGTCCACCATTGAATTGCTTCCCTACTCCCTACTTCCCTTTCTCAATAGAGATATTTTCTGAAGACATGGGCCCACCACAATAAAGTCGAGATCACACTAGTTGAAAGTTGAAATCCAAGCAAGACAAATTTGCTTTCACGCCCCGATCGCCGATCGGTGGTTGTTCCCGTTTGATGGCTTCAATTATTTGTCCACTCCAGTGCTAATGCTGTCGGCCCCTTTCATTTACCATTCAATTGGAATCTCTTATCTTCGGGACGGATGGAGCGGATTAAGACTTGTACAGTCAAGGATGCACACTCCAGGAGTGAGTAGATAAGAATAAGATATTCCAATCCAACAGCCTTGTAACACTTCTAGGTATATTAGAAAACCTAAGGTAAAAAGGTTCCAATCAAACGGTTCTTTAGGGAGAGGGACTACCGGACTAGAGCCTTTTCCTAAAGCTCGGCCTCTGTGGATGAGGTGTGAGCCATTGAATGACGTAGGGCCCACGTGATGTTGTCATCCATGTGTATAGAACTTTCCTGAGAGAGAGATTTTGACTTGGGAAACAAGAGAGGGTGAAGGTCACGTGAATACCGGGTAAAGCTGAGTCAGTCAGTTGGTGTTATCACCGGCTAAATCCGGTGAGTTTGGGATCCGTTTGAGCGAAGCAGCCGGTCAAAAGTATTAAAAACCTAAAAGAAAAAAAGAAAAAATAATTAATAAGATTCCTTTCCTTTCCCGCGTCTGAAAAGAATTGGCTAATTTGGGGGCCGGCTTAGCTGTCGGTTTTGGAGTCATTTTCTAACGTCTGACGTCACCCGTTTTGCCTTTATTCGGGATCCTTCTTTCCCTCTTGTCCCGAAATTGAATATAATATTATTTTTAAATATTAAAATTTTGAAACTGAAAGAAAGGAAGGGTTTAGAAGCATGTGAGGGATAAGGAACATGGTAAATTCCTACACAAGAAGAGGGCATTTTGGGGAAAGTAGTTACAACTAAAGAATCCCGGCAATTTCTAAGCATTTTCGCGAGCGTTATAGTCACGAACGAAATCCACGCCGTTGATCTCTAAAATCAATCCTCGAAACCCTAACGTCTCCCTCCCTCTTTTTCCTCCCTCTCCTCCATAAAAGACGTTCAAAAAGCCATTCAAAACTCCTCCCCTGCTTTCATTTCCGAGTCCCTCTACTGGCTTTCTCAGAACACAGGAGGGGGAGAGAATCACAGATTGCAGAAACCCTCGCCTTCGAAATCTCTCGTCTTTGTTGATTCATTTACTATTTCTATAATAATAACAATAACAGTTGTTTATGCTCTATTTATATCTGGCATAAATTCAAGGTTATTGGTTGAGCCATCCCTCTGGTTCTAGGGTTTATAAATTAGGGCGTCTCTGTTGTTTTTTCGCGTTGAAGAAGCTCGGATCTGAGGTTGAATTGGTTTTCAAGATATGGAGAAATCGACGACTCCAACAAGAACTGCGTTGTTTGAGCGATGGGAAGAGGTGTTTGTGTCAAACAATAAAGGAAAAAGAGAGGTGCATTATTATCTGAAGCGGAAGGATGGGAATTCAGAGCTTGCTGTTGTTGGTAAAGAAAGGGGTCTTAGGCACATGGCTTACTACTATGCCCTTCGTAATCGTTCGCTCCTTCTCTCTCTTTTCCCTTCCAATACTATCCTCAAGCTTCGTTCTCGAAGGGATGTAGTTGACTGGCTCTCCTCTATAGTTTCAGGTACATACAAGCGTTATCAATTCTGATTATACGAAAGTCAGTTTTTTCCCTTTTTTCTACTCGGTTTTAGTCCCTTTTTTCTTTTATTTTCTAGGTCTATTTTGTGTGGTTTTTGTTTCTTTCTATTCCCTCAATTCCAATCTCATCGAAAAGGGGTTTTCTCCTTTCTCTGTCTTGTTATTTTAAAGAATAGATAGTTTTAAAGCCCTTTGTGTTGTGACTTTTGCAACGATTGTGGCGCAATTTGCAGATCTGCTGTAAATTGATAACCTCTCTAATATTCAAAGCGGCATTCTTTTTCTTCTTTGTTCTTTTTCAAATCCTACGGCAGTCGGCCCTTCTCCTACTGCAGAGCTGAGCCGGGGGCGGCTTACTCGTCTGTTCGTCGTGCAAAGATGGCTCCTTTCTCGACCATTGATTCTCCACCACCCTTCAATTTTTCGTCTTAGCGGCTACCTTCGACGAGGACGCGTCTGTACTTGTTAATTAGCTTATTATAGATCGCGTTCTTGAGAAGGTAAGGATCGTAGATCCACCAGACTGCGTGGGTGTGTTGGAGGTGATTTGGCCGTTGGGAGAGAGGTGCACGCCAGATGATTGCAGCAGGGGCGATTGCATCCATTTTTCCATGATGGTGAGTCAACTTTTAGCTTTTGGGGCCGGCTGTGTGATCTGAATGATGGATTAGACGAAATCCTGGTCATTTTTTATGAACAGCCGTTCGATCTCTAAAATGGTGAGATAGTAGTGCTGGTTCCTTGCGCGCTGACTAACGCCTTCATACGACGGGGGAGGTTAACAACCTTGTCAACACATGATGTAGGCTTGAAAGCTAAAGTTAGTTGAGTTTTCCTGCTCTGTTTCGTGATTCGTTGTAGATCCGGTCTACCGGTAGATCCTCTTTCATAACGAAGTTGAGATTATAAAATCCGCATGATGTAGGTTTTGCGTCTGCGTGCTTTTTTCGATCAAATCGATACTTTGGTAAATTTTTGTTTTATCCCCAGAAAATATTTTCTTTGGTCGTTTTATTCGTGCTTCATATCATTCTGATGCATGGGGGTTTCATGATTTGCTATCATTCCACATCTTATCCCCGTTTTTCTTATATTTGTACAATTCATCCTGCTTTTTTCCTTCCCTTTTCTTTTTTCTGTTCCTCCCCCTCTCAATCTATTCTTCATGTTATGGGAAACTAACTACATGGTGGGATGCAGGAATTATCAACCACTTAGGTAATTGCTGGTTGAGAGCGTTGGAACCCCTTTATGCCATCCTAACTGCTAGGTCAAGGTCAATAAACCTTATCTTTTGCAATCCCTTCCCCCGCCCCCCTTTTTTGTTGGGACTGCTCCCCATAGTTTCCCAACCAAAACTTCGCTTCAGGCAGTCTTCTTGTTCAGTGTCTTTTTCATTTCTAATGTTTCTATTTTTGTTTTATCTGCACAATCGTTGCTTTGTTCGAGCAATTTTCTTCTTCTGTTTGTTTGATTTCTTTCTAGATGCACTTCTTTTTCTATAAAATTATAACCTTTGCCCCTTCCTCATTCAGATCCTATTTCTGATGGGTCTTCACAATCGGATGATGGTCCTTTGGAGAGTGAATATGGTCAAGAATCAAAGACACAATCTTCCAAGGTAGGAAGAATGGGCTCAATTGGCTTCCTTGATTTTTTCCTTTGGGTTGTCTTTCGATTACTTTTAGGAATTACAGAGGGTATTGATATACTTTTCCCTATACATAATTTATTTATTTATTTATCTTTGCAGGATTTTCATTCACAGAGAAAAGAATTTACATGGTTGGGTTCTGCATGGACATGCCGGAAACGTAGAAGACATTTCAAGTCTTTCTGCCGGAATTGTATTACAATTTCTGTAAGTGCAGTGGGATCTTCCTGATTGATTTTTATCTTTATATGTTCATCTGTAATAATTTCAATGCTGGTATTGAGATAGTTTCTATGATCTCTGTTTATTTATATTTTGGCATTGGGGGGTGAAGGGTTTGTTATCCCTCCTTTTTTCCTTCTAACTCTTGGGGTTTTCGTTTTTAAATTTTCTTTTCAGGTCCATGATTTTGTATATATCATGGCAGAAGAGAACAAAAGACTATTAGCATACATAGAGGATCTTTATGAAGACTCCAGAGGCAACAAAATGGTTGTGGTACGATGGTTTCACAAAATTGATGAAGTTGGTATTGTTTTGCCTCCTGATTTTAATGACAGAGAGATTTTCTTTTCTCTTTGTCTTCAAGATCTCAGAGTTGAATGCATAGATGGATTAGCTACAGTGCTGAGTCCCCAGCATTTCAAGAAGTTTCTGAATGAGGCAAGACACAGATGGTTTGAACCATTTGTCTGCCACAGGATGGTGGACAATGATGATGTCAAGCCCTTCGATATCACCCAAATTCAAGGTTATTGGAAACAAGAAATCCTCAGATTTATGTACACCACTGCCCCTCCAAGAACTGACTTAGAGCCTCTCCATGGTGGTGGTGGCCTGGAAGTAGATGGGGATGAGGATGTTGCAAGAACTAGACCCAAAAAAAGGCTTCGTACATTGAAATGTGAGGATGTGGATCAGCAGGACAACAAAAAAGATTTCAAAGATCTTGGCAAGGGTAATAATAAGTGCATTAGCTACTTGGTTTCTGGCATCAATGGATCTGAAATGCATATTCCAAGAGAAAATGGTTTGATTGCACCTTTATCAAGGAAGGAAATTACCAAGGAGGAGCCTCATCAGCATCTAATTGTGGGTTCTCATGTTGAGGTGCTCTCTCAGGATAGTGGCTTGAGAGGATGTTGGTTCAGGGCCATTGTTCTCAAGAGGCATAAAGACAAGGTGAAGGTGCAGTACCAAGACATCCGAGATGCAGTGGATGAAAATAATAATCTGAAGGTAATTTCATTAATCTGTCTTGTTATTTTATTTGTTGATACCTTATTGCAGGGATGTTTTTTTTCTTTTTATCTCTTGGTTCAATTTTGTGACATAATTGTTTTTCTACAACGCAGGAGTGGGTTCTAGGATCAAGGATTGCTGGCCCTGACCTTTTTGGTCTTAGGCTATGTGGAAGGACAACCATTCGCCCATGCCCTCCTTACAATAAAGGAAGAGTTTCATGGGGATTTGATGTCGGGGCTTCTGTAGATGCGTGGTGGTGTGATGGGTGGTGGGAAGGCATTGTGGTCAGGAAGGAATCCGAAGATAGAGTACATGTATATTTCCAAGGTATGGGAAAATTGTTCCCTATCAACACATTGACTAGAATTTGATTTGTAGGTAACAAACCAAAACTAACACATGGTAACATTAATTAACAACCCCTTGTGAACATGCAGGTGAACGGCGGACTTTGATCTTTGGTTCCGGTGACTTGAGACGATCTCAAGATTGGGTGGGCAACAGGTGGAAATGCATAAAAGAGAGGCCAGACATTGTGGCTTCAATATTATCTGGCCTAGAGAGTGAGCAAGATGTAGGTAGACCCAACAATGTTCTGGTATCAGATAACCGACAACCTGGGAATAACAATCATGTAAATACCTTGTTACAAGAGGATGATAAAGCTACATGTAATAAGACTAGCTTAGGAAAGGAGCCGAAAACTTCAATTCACAAGAGTACATCCTTCTCAGAACCTCGTGATAATAATCAGAGGAAAGAAGTGGAGTCTGTACCTAACCTTGCCAATGATGGTTTACTTGCTCAGTTGAAGTGGAAGTCTTCCAGGAAGAGGAGACGTAGTAGAGAGTCGAAGCGTTATGTTGATGGTAGCAGCAGTAGCAGCCAAGAGGAAGGTGGGTCTCCTGCTTCAGAAAGATTTTTGATACCGAAGCCATTGATGGTTGATCACGAAAATTGCAAATACAGGGGAGATTCTCTATTCAACGCATCCATACCTCCTTTGTCGAGTTTGGTCATGTCTAGGTGATTGCTGATGCTGTTGTTTTTCCCATCAAAATTTTTGAAAATTTTTTTAGTCTTAACCAAAGATCTTAGTCCATCCCCTTTGTTCTTCTCACACACCCTGTGACTGACGACTGTTTTTACTCAATTTAACCGAGTGTTATCTCCGGTGTTGACCGGATGTGTGAGTTGTGTATCATGCTGTATCAATATCTAACTGTATCAATATGTAGCCTGAGATGCCATGCTCTATTGGCATCATTTTTGAATGAATGCATATTGAAAATATCAAATTTTTTCCTCTAATACAGTCTATACATGCTCTGGCCCTTGTTGCTTTCACCAATTGGGAGAAGGGGATGTTTGGTCGCATGGTCTAATTTGTTTTATCCAAGCGAACGATTACTCGAGCCAGGAACCCAAAGAACGAAATAAAGGGTAATTGAACACCCTGTAAGGTTTTAGTCAAATAGAGTGGTTTCTGGCTTATTACGAGTGAAAATGACATTTTTTGTTTGTATATTCTTTGATTAAATTTATTTAAAATGGGATTAATGTCCTTTTCCATTATCATCAAATGAAAGGTCAATTAAGTAAATTAAATCGATCGATTAGGAGTGTTTTACTAAAATGCAAATTTATAGCATTCGTTTGACAAAGGGGTGCTTTAGTAAGTGAAAGAAGTACCTGGGGTTGGGAAAAAGATGGTCGAAACAGCGTATCTGACGCCCCATCTGCGCTCGGTTGGATTTTTGCTGCAAGTCATTGAAGCAGTCAAGCCGACAGTCTGCACACCCTAGGTGGTTCTTTGGTGTTATCCAACAACAAACCATTAACCATTGTAGTTTCAGCCAATATAGGGGGGCAATATTGAACATTTGGATGTTAAATTTAAGAATAGTTTTGGACTTTGTAGTCAGTAAATAACCTATTCTCTAACACGTGATTTCTGTAATCGGTTTAATGTCATTTTGCTATCGCGAAAAGAAAATCCTAAATCGAAATATTCCTCGACATCGTAATTTATTATTTTATAGGGAGACTAATTTTATTTCACGCGATAGGCGATGGGTCATGTGATCCATTGTCTTTTTACCGACGTTTTACTGATGTAACATTTTAAGACCCGTCTGAGGAAAAAGGAGAACCAGTCTTCGACGGTTCGACTGGTTCATCATCTGTATGAAATAAATAATCAACGTGGGTTCAGTTTCATGGAAACCACCAAAATCCACCGTTACAATATATATATTTTTCTAAACCTGCCACTGCTTTTATTTGATTCTACAGCATTTGGCTGGAAATAATGGGCGTTCGGCGAGCACTTGGGTTCTTCTGTTGTTATTAAATAAAGACAACAAGGGATGAAATCGTGCAATACGATATTCATTGTTGATCAGTTGTTCTCAGTGAAAACTGAAAATCGTAGTGCAGCGGGAAAGCAGAAAAGCAGAAAAGCAGAAAAGTCATGCTGCGGAAGTCCTTCCAATCAGCCCGGCCGTATGATGGTTTCACGAGAAGGAAGAGCTTGACGTTCAAATAATGCATCTTCTCAGTGAGAATTGTATGTATGGCGTGTGCCATATCAACTTCTTGGACTCGGAGCCTTCTTCGATCAGCCACACTTTATATGGATGGTCCGCTTAACCCGCCACAATTTCCCGAGGTTTCTTTGTTATGACCTCCAAATAGTGCAACTGCAACATTTGTTTTTACTTCTCTCTCTCTAATAGTTAATGCTTGGCTGCTTGAGTCACACATGTTTTACAATTTGTCTGTTTGTACAAAAAGTCCAGAGCTAGTGTTTTTAAGTTCGCCCTTTCATCATTTATTAAAATATCCTTTTAATTTTATAGATTTATTGGAACTTATCATATAGTTAGGGGTGGATTCAAGCCGCACCTAACATAGTTTCAGCGAGTCGAGCTCGAATATCATGTCTTCTTTTAGGAGATAATGAAGGGACCAATTTGACATTTTCAGTCTCAAGTAAAAGACAATGAACAATGTTTTCTTTTGAAGGGTAGTTTTGATATTTTCAACAGATAACACCAACTTGACACTTTTTAATTTACTAGTAAATATGTATGTGCATTTGCATGTGATAGTATCTCTATGGCAAAACTATTTATAATTCATGGGCAGTTTTTGAACAATTATAAGTGGGCAGTTTCTTAACGGTTATAAGTGAATAGTTTTTATAGTGAGAGTAAATGATATATATACCCTTTTTATGCTCGTTGTATGCTGCTTAGATAAGAGGTAGAAAATTTCCACTAAAAATTCCAGAAAAAAGGGACATTCGCTCTTTTATAGGTAACATGGATAGTATGGATATGAACTTTTAATCAATCTTCCATTATTTGAAAGTGAAAAATGACAATTTTAAGTTTAATAGCCCTTGGCTTCAAACAAATTTAGCCTATAGAAAACAAAAATAAAAATGTCTTTTCTGTTGTAGTAAAATGCAGGTAAAAAGTCTCTTTTATAAAATGTGTTATCTATTTGAGGAAGGCATATTATTGTTGACAAAAAAACCCTGGAAGCCATTGTCCTCTTTTTTCATTCTGCTGAAGCAAAACATTTTTTTTATTGATAGATCTAAAAAAGATCAAACCTTATTTATTTCTAGAAGCTTGATATGAAATTTTAGAGATATCTTTGAAATAAAAAAGCACGGGCTAATCTCTTAGACATTTCCCACTCTTTTTATATGGTCGCGTACTCACGTTACTAATAAAATTTCGATTAAGCAAATTGGTTGCAAATTATATAAGGTATTTTAATAAAATGTAAACTGCAGGGTTGGTTTTTATAAATCCGAAGGGTATTTGCACGATTTTTACTATTATGACATCCAAGCTTAACTTACCCAAGGGTGAGTCGGTGACCCAATCCCACTATCTACCCTTTTGCTTCTTCCCATTTCTTTAGTATTAGCATTTGAACCAAATCAAATTAAACTAATTATCTATCTATTATAATTTCATATGGGCATGTTTAAAATTGTCATTTTATAGAATATGTTTTAAATAGTTTGAGAATAGAGTAAGGCTTGGCAGTCATTATCGGATCTTGTTGGGTCAGATTTCATAAGCATGATTAATTAAATAACGGGGGTAGTTTTGTGTCTATCATTTATTGAATCTATACTAGTACTGTTCATAAGAAGGCCCAATCCGACCAAACTGATCAATTCAGACCGACCCAATTTGTGTCGGTCGGGTTTTCATTAGTACGGGTCGGTTTCAAGTTGTGTAAATTCTTAAATCGACGATTCGGGTCGGTTTTGGTTTTCACACAAGAAAATCAAAACCGACCCGAACCGAATCTACTTAGTTCCTAGTTCAAACATGAAGTTTCAAAGCTCATTAGGCCACCTACTTTTGAATGGTTGCAAGAAACTTTGGATTAGTGAATAGTGATTAATGAACAACTTTTTTGATTAACTTTTCATTTAAATTTTATCATAGGAAATGGTTGAAATGATATTCAATTTATGACTGTTTTTAAAATTAGCAAGATTTTATCACAGGGATGAACCTAGAACACAAACCGACCAGGTCGGTTTTGCTTAACACTAGGTCGGTTTCGATTTCTATGTCAAGTAACCCGACCAAGTCAAGTCGGTTGAAAAAACCACAGTAAACCGATCCAACCCGACCCGTAAACAACCCTAGTCTGTACTCTATAGGGTCTCTGGAAAAGGATATGAATGTTAATGAGTTCAGGGCCGGGTCTATCCTGACCTGGACCAGACCTGAGTGATTGACAGCTCTTCTAACAAACAGACAGTGTAAGTGTTGGAAATGCGAAATGGTCCCCCTTTCATTCTATATTTAATTCTACCTTCACGGATGGACCAATGTACCATATGGCTGCATACATGCATCTAAATGGTGGTGGGGGACGCATCTAGTGCGATACAGTACAGCCCTCGATTGACCTACCCAATATGACATGCTAGGGAAGAAGAAGAAAAGATAGATATTGTTTTCTTTTTCAAAAGATTTTGTTACAATATCGATTGCTCCTACTTTTTCATTCCATTCAAATTCCAAAACCAAACTAATCGAATTTTAATTGGTGTTTGTTTATGTTAGCATTTGCCCTTTGATCTAATTTAAAGGGCACGAATCATGCTCGTAAAAATTAGACCGTTCACCAATTATCCAAAAGAATCAGAATCATTTACCAAGCATGGTGGGTCAGGCGGCCTTTGGTATCTAAGCTGTTGTTTGAATTTGAAGTAACAATTTGTACCATGCAATTCTTTATTTGTATTTATTTAGATTTAAGATATGTAAAATATCATTAGGCATCACATAGGACAAAACACCTCTCTTAAACAAGAAAATTACACTTATTTTTTGAAAATTATTTTTTACAGAAATTGAGGTAAAAGAATTTCAACTGCTTAATATTGAATCAGTCAACCAAATTAAAAAAAAAAAAAAGATTGCTTAAAATGTCTATATGACACTAACATAACATTTTTCTTGAAAAAATGACTACGATGCCAAACTCTACCTTAATCATAAGATTTTATTTATTTGAATTTGGATCATGAAATATCAACCAAGGTTCAAAGTATTGACATAGGGCGTATCAACCTGTGTGGTACTTTTTCTATGTTTTATTTATTTATTTTTCAAAATCAATTCAAAGGGATTAGTTTAAGTCCCGATTATTCTCTGAACCATAGTCACCTGATACAACCCTTATAAAGACGTATCGGGAAGCCATCAACACCATACATATTGACCAATACGAACTGATACATGTCAATACTTTAAACCTTGATATCAACTAAGTGCTCTTTAATTATAATTATATATATACTTCTCTATTTTATTAATATTTTTATTTAGGATACATGTAACATATAAGGACAAGGAGTTCTTAGGTGATTGATGTTAAATATTTTCCAATCTTTTATCTCACTTCACCTTGACCCCTTTGTGCCTCAACGGTCTCAATACAACAACTTCATCAGTCAGCTCTATTAATAGGACCGGACAAATTTAGAGCAGGGTATGGTCATGTTTTGTCGGATTTGTGTAAAGTCCAACCTGAACTCGACCAGAGTTGGTCCAGCTTCTTCCTCTTTTGTTAGAGGGGGGTAGCCGTAAGAAACTTTAGCTTTTGGCGCTTTTTTTTTTTAATGCAAAATGGTCCCTTTCAAATTTGAACATGATTGTTAAGGGGTGTCGGTGGGGGTTGGTTTAGTTGGATTAAGCGGTAAACCTTTGACCCAACCCAACCTTGTCAGACTTAAGTGGGTTAAATGGGCATTTGCTGCGTAT